TGGCAGTCCAGCTTAGAAGAGTCATCGATCCCGTAATGCTGGAGCTTAGAAAGTAGTATCCGATGGTCTAGACTATCGAAAGCCTACGAAAAATCTAAGTAGATAACATCAACGCATTATCCCGCGTCAGCTAACTCGATGCAACTACTGCATGTGATTAGTGAATTCATTGTGCATGACCGCTGTCGACCGCCACCGTGCTGCTCAAGCGTGATGTTGTTGCAGTTTTCCAGACAACACACCAGTGCACTGGCAACAATAGATTCCAGAATCTTAGATAGTATAGGAAGAAGGAATACTGGGCGGTAGTTGGGGAGCTCAGTTCTGCGTCTACCTTTGTGAATCGGGGTTATTATTCCAAGCTTCCACATAGCGAGAATTTGGTTCTGATCTAAGTAGCGCTGGAAAAGCTGGGCTAAATAATGATGATGATGACGTGGATTTGAACCGGTGACCTCCGGATTCCAAGACAAGCGCGTAAGCCTTTCGGTCAACGTCCAGGTCCATCAACCAAGAACGATGTATGCAATCGCAACTGGATCGGATACGGGTTCGTCGCCGAAAACACAACTTAAAAAGATAGTTTAACAAGAAACATTTCAGACTGTGCGCAAATCTGGGTAAAGCAAATCGTGACACCAATCGGAGTGCCGGAACGAAAACAAACCCTAGAGCCTTCTGTTAGCGGGAAAACCAGAAGACATACGATTCTTGTTAAATATGCCGCTATGTGAAATCGCACATCACAAAGGATTCACTTCGGTGAGGAAACGCAGAAGTTTCTTCGAAGACTGCAAGATCAGTTGGACTTGGCGAAATTAGCAGCGCCTACGGCAATAAATGAAACACCAAGGCCCAAAGTATATGTAAAGTGTTGGCATCCAGAAGCAACAATATCAAAGCGCAACTACCCAACCGATAAAGGGCAACATCAATCAGGCTTCAGATTCTATCCTACGAATTTCCCTAGCGCAGTATCACCATCTACAGTCAGTGAGCTTCAGAATGAAGCAGAAGGGAACGTAGTTTGAATGTACAGTAAGTCTCTTTGTTGGCCAAGTTTCACGGGAGACGATATGCAAAACCAACTTTGGTAGACATGTCACATATGCGCCTTTCTAAGGGCGAACTTACAAACTACAATCCGGAAATCCCTTGTTACAAAGTGTACGAATGTCATGTTGTAGTGCTGACCTTCTGTGAGCTTTGCTCGTCGTTCCAATCGAAACGAAAGGTCCAAAAGTCAAGACCGGACTAACTAAGTCTTTTTGTTAAAAAGTACAACTATGAACTTCATCTCGAACCAGTTTGGATGCGACGATTGAAGCACAACTTGTTGCTGCTTTTCAATATCTTACACAAAAAGACCTATTCTAATCTGCGTACACTCAATTTACAACACTGCTCAACTAGAGCCATTCGTAACAAAGATTTTACATTGAATATTCCGAAGGCTAGAACGAATGTCCGCTCTCATTTCTTCATCGTCAGCTACAGCTATCTGTGGAATAAACTACCAATAACACACAGGTCATGTGATAATGTGGCAACATTTAGTAGCAGACTCACTAATTACCTTGACCTAACTACCCTAAGCTCTAGATTCACATGGGGAAAATCTCTTGATGAGCTATCCCAAGAAAGGCCCAAAGAACACCAATGTTTTCATAACTAGGTTTTGGCCTCAACCATCCGCCAGAATGTTAACACATGAAACGCATATCCCAATACTCCACCTATGCATGTCACCCATGCAAGAGTATATACTTTTCTGTACAAATTGATCTGTGCCGCTATAGACACAGTTTCACTCATCAAGAGAAATATACGTATTATTATTAATTATTGTTAGTATTATTATTAGTATAACTACATTTATAGGCCAAAAATAAGTCGAAATCGTATGTGCTTTGGTTTTGACGTCCACGTGTGTTTTACTTGCCGACAGGCTACCGTAGTACACAATACTTGGTTGCATGCTCTTAGGATTGAGCATAGTTAGTTTATTTCGTCGATCTATTAATGAACTGTAAGACCGTGCATGGGCGTCCTGTCAGTTTGAGCCTCGAGTGTTTTTCAGTCAGGTCACTCACACATGAACGTGTGAGGACTTGTTCAAAACGGTCTGCATCTACATTCTGTCAGAATCCGAGAAATATAGTCGTTGTTCAATAGCACAGAATATGCTTGGAACCGACTGCGAGAATGTGGACTTTACTATGAGACAACAGTCTAGAAGTGGCACAATGTCATTGCTTGATTGCCAAATTCATAGGAACGGACAGCGGGTTAAAGACAACGATATATTGCAAACCAACAGGTCCAGGTGGAGTACTTCATTACATTACAAGTCATCCAAAAGACGTTTATGCTGCTAATCACATTCTCTGTTCCACAAGGCCCAGACTCTGTGCACAGAGGAAGAGGATAAGAGGGTCGCCCGGAAGGAGGTGGGGAGCAAAGTAACCGATAGAGGATACCCAAGGCGGTTAGTGAAAGGTCGTTTGCAGAGAGTTCTGCATCTACCTTCGCGGTGCAAGACGTAATGAAGTGGGATGGTAGGAATCCCTTAAACAGGGACCAAATGAAGTAACCAAACGAGTACTAAACAAGGAGAAAGTGATGACCATGCAAAATGGTCAAGTGCTCTGCACAGCATTAGTACGCTTAAAGGATCCGCTTCCGAGAGATGGGGTGACCGATTGCACCCAAAAAATCAATTGAACATAGGTTAAACAGGGAGAGAGGGACGCACGAGGACAACAGAACAAAAGGGGCCCGTTTCGCATCCACCGAGAAACAAGTCTAAAAGCAGAGCTCTACTAAGAGATTCGGCAGTGGCCGTACCCGCACTAAATGCGGGGCGGGAAATCGAATGGAGCAATGTCCAGATTATGAATAGAGGAATCCGAGCAACTGTCCAAAGGTTAATTACCGAGGCGGTTAAAATCTGTAAGGCCGATAACTTCGCACACAGAACGGATCGGGTGAGGCTATAAAACGCGTGGCTGGCTGTGTTAATCCGGCAAGTCCAAAAGGCGTCAGCGGACGGACTGAAGTCGGAGTGTGCATCAACCGCAAGAGGAGCAAGAATAGGTTTGTTTGACAAGGTGAACCCTGAGATTCTCCTTCGGAAGCTGAAGTGGTGAGATGTTAGTGGCTCACTACACCGGTGGGTCAGTGACTTTCTTATTGGTCGAACGTGATGGGTGCAGGGGAACAATCATTTGACCGAGTGGTATCCCTTGACTAGTGACGTCTCGCGGGGCACAGTCCTTGGGCTTATTTTGTTTCTGATCCACATCAACGATTTGCTTCAGCTTCTCAGTTCACCTTGCGCGTAGTTTGCAGGTGATCTTAAGGTATGTAGGGTAATTGAGGCACCCAACAACGGCGATCTGTTTCAGCTAGACGTTGACCGCCTCTCCATATGGTCAGCAAAAGTCAACCTTCTGATCAAACCGGTCAAGTCGGTATTCATGAGCCTGTGCAAGAGTGCTAATGGAAGAGCCTACAATCTGGCCAGCCAACAGTTAGACCCATCGCCATCCGTGAAAGATCACGGCGTACTCTTACACTACGAGTTGAAATCCAATGAAAACACAAGCAAGCTTTACTGCGCTGGGCGCTCAAAAGCAGCTTTTGCATTTGGTCCGAAGAGGTTGCCATCCGCCTTTTCTCTTCTAGCAGACCAACGCTAGAGTACATCTCACCACCCTACTGTCTGCTCACCCAGGACGAGGTTCAAAGGTTTGAGCGGTTACAGCATGTTGCCATAATGTTCATCCCCGGTTTACGAGGTGTGTCATATGAAGACCGGTGCAAGAGACTAGGGTTGTACATTCTGTCCTATCGTCGAATGCGGGTTGACCTCACCATGACGCACCGGATATTACATCTGGGTGATTACCCCTTGTTGAGGCCGCTGCTTCATCTACGCATAGCAAGCAGAACACGAGGACCCTGGCACAAGGTTTTCGTACCGGATTTGAAGCGGGGCGCTCACCAACTCTGCTTTGAGCGGAGGGTGGTGAATATTTGGAACAATGTGTCTGAAGACATAGTCAAAGCAAAGTCCGTGTCTGAGATTAAGAAACTTCTGGACGCGCAAATTTCCGACTTGGGATTTCGAGAACAATAATCATCATAATGGGCAAATTTACTTAAAAGACCTTAGATGTAGCTACCCAGAGGCATCTCTACTTGCCGCATTTTCTCAGTACTCAGTATTCACACGCGAGCGGCCTGTGACGCGGATCAAGCAGGGACGTTCGATGCGGATTGTTACACTAGAATGACCCTTTGATCCATCGACCTATATAACGTTATTATCCACTGACTCGTTTCACTTCTCACAATCTTCATCCAAAATTGCCATAAGAACCAAGCGAAGTATGCATCGATGTATCTGGACTGGAGAAGTTTTTGTGTCAATATCAAAACATTGCCCCGACAAAAAGATACAATAACCGGTTTGCATCCTAAACCTTCTGAAATCATTATACTTGTTGTTGTAGTTAATAGAACAGGCATTAGCATTGCGCAATCGGTAAACAGAAGTTTTACAAAGAAGACATAAACCATTAGCGTTGGATTACATTGGTTCTTAGGAGCGAGAGAGATGTCATAAATCAAGGAGTTTCCGAAGCTCCAGCACTATCTGTTCATCGGTGTATGACGAAATAAATATACTTGACTCAAGATATTATCTGGGCAACTTCTCACTCAGAAAACAGACTACGCTAGGTGCGACATTTTTCGTAGCATTAGAATGTTGGATGCGGTGTGGGATGAATGCACGCGCAAAGGGCAGCTCCGAGTATGTCGCATGTGCGAAGTCAACATGGATTTTAGATGGCACCGGAGCGGAAAACGCCAGGAATTACTACAGGGAGAAAATCCTTAAGTTATTTGTTTTCCAATTGTGCTTCCTATCAAAGTTCGATGGTGCACCGAGAAGGTTCCAATTCCGGCAGTGGGAAGTATTCATCAACACTCACCGTGATCACAAGGCAAAGTACGTAGAAGATCCCCATTTTCGTAATCCTCCAAACATATGGCGCACGTATCGGTTCCATTTTGACCTAACACAAAAGTGAGAAAGTGCAAACATGATGACGAGTGCTAACAATCTGATGAGAACAATGAGCTCAGTGAACATGCGGATTAAACGAAATCTCGGATGCTGTCGACCGCATGCGTAGTAAGAGCGTCCGTGAGCGAAACAATATCGGTACCCCCTAGTCGAACTGCTCTTCATACCAAAAGTGAAATCGTGAACGCCTAGAGACAAAGCGGAACTGATTCGGAGTTTATCAGTGCGCTACTGACACACCTCACATAATGAACGCGTGCGTGCAGAGAGCGACTAGACAGACAGAAGGTCGAATATTATAACGGTTGCTATCCAAAAGCAAACAAATGCATAGTCTAAGAGGAACCCGATTGAGGGATTTTACAAGATGTTATGGGGTACCAACGATGTAGGGAAGATACGTGAAAATCTTACACTTTTATAAATCGAGTGCAGCAGAGACAATCCAGCAATGAATGAATGTCGGACATACGATTGAGTTGTATGGTATAAGGCGTCAAAATAGCAAAGCAACCATGACACTTAGGGAAGGAGGAATTGTGCAAAGTCAGCGACATGGTAGACGTGTATTAAATCCAGCGATCAGATGCTTAAAAGTACGTCGTCGTCGCGGGGCTCTAGTCATGAAGTTCACGCTCACTCACTGCTCTGCTGTGGTTCATGTGCATGCAATCGCCGATCGTGTGAGGCTGCCTTGTCTGCGTCGCGCGAAAAAACGTTTGATCAGTATACTGGCCGGTGCAGCGAAGCCTTTGTTTTGACGGATCTACGCCCCATCAACCGAGGCAATAAAAACACGAGAATATGTAAAACTCCGAGGCTACTACAACTAACTACAATGTAAATATTTCGCGTGGAATTAAAGTATTTATAATGAACTAGAGCTGTAAAAGTGGTCGCACAACGACTGCGATCGAAGTAAGACTGATAGAATATTTACAAGGGCGTCCACTAATCGATACATAAATGTGATCGACAATGACTCGTATACGGGCGGTGGTGGAAGAATCGAGAACAGACTTGACGTTAAGTGGTTACATTGAAGGTGGACAAACAGCCAGTTTGAATCGGTAACTGCTTAGATCACGGAGGCCAAAACAAATGTGCTTGGTGAGAACGTAATCGTATGCTGTAAACTGTATGGACCTTATCTCCTGTGGGCATCTGTAATCCGCCGCGACTATTAATAAAAACGCGATTCGTGGTCGAACGTTGTTGCGCAGTGATAGTTCCACTGAAACTGATTGCTGAGTGGAACTAGGCATCTTGTGAAAGCCCAGTGGATGCTCAAGTGTATCAAACTGGTACAAAGGACGGTATGAACAAGTTGGATGATCATTATCACCATCGTTACACATTAGATGAGAGACATAATTCAGCTGACTGTGACATAATACAAAGAAAGAATAGATGAAAAGCGAGATAGTAAACATTACGGAAATCAAAAGTTAAATTAGTGTTAAGTATTATGTTGTTCATGCGATGTGAGATCGTTGTTGGAGAGGGAGGCGAAGTACACAGGTATGATATAGTTAACAGGGATGAAAATCGTTACACGGCCCAGTCAAGCGGTGAGAGAAGCGGAATGAGGTATTGCGGAAAATAACGAGTTTAAGAAAGTACTGATACGGAGTAGCCTACAAGACACGGCTTGCCAAATCATTCGCAGGGTCTCTTGTCTGCTTCCACTTGTCTAAATGTGTGTCAGCCAATGTTTTCAGAACAGGAGGCTACGGTATTACAACAGGTTCGGGATTTGATCTGGTTTTGGCCTGTAAGAAATTAGTACATCGCTATCAGAAATCAGTTAGCGCTGGTGCTTTAGTTTCAGTGTAAAGCTGTAAGAGGCTGAAAGCTGAATCCACATTCCTACTAAAAAACAAGAGGCAAAAAGTAACTTAGAACAAAAAGGGATAGTAATGTGTCGCTTGCTGTCTGTATTATTCATGTAACGATTTTATCAGAAAACTGGATTCGTAACTCAGGAGCAAGTACTACATACTACTACTACTACTATAGAAAGCCGGAACCAAAAACGTAGGAAGTAGAAATCGGTGAGAAAACTATGGTGTGATGTGGTACGTCGTTACACTGCCGTTAATAGAAGCAGAACATTGTGGAAAGGTAAGTTAAAGCAAAACAAAATAGCAAAAACCAAACGTCAAACAGCCATAAGCAATTTGTTGAAGATAAACGAAAAAAGGGAAGTAAAATAAATAAGCAAAATAGGTCGGGTTGACGAGGCAACAACAGTAGACCGAACATGAGAGCGGCAATGAACCCGCTATTAAGAAGCCCTATCCATCTTCCACGTTTCACTGTCGTATAGAAGAACGGACAACATCATGCAATTGTAAACCATCCGCTTCGTGCCATTGGTAAGCTGATGGTTGTTCCATACTCGGTGCTCTAGCTTCCCGAATGCCGCCGCTGCCTTCGAGACGCGGATACGAAGTTCACTGTGTATCTGCTGATCAGTCGACATCACACTCCCAAGGTAGCAGAAGCGGGAGGTTGTTTCTAATACTTCTGCATCAATGCTGTTTTGCGACAATATTGAAGCTTGCACCTCCGGTGGAGGCTGAAAGAGACAAACAGTTTTGCTTGTGTTGATGGCGAGTCCGAATTTGGCCACTGTCGAAGCCAGAGCACTAGTCATATGCTGCAACTCATCCGCGCTGTGTGAAAATAACGCACAGTCGTCAGCAAACGGCAACATACGGATAGTTGTCTCACAGACTAAAATTCTCGCACCGAAACGACGGATGTTCAGCAACCAAAATCAATACGGTGCTCCACACGAACACCGTAAGCACGAGCCGATTCAAAAGCACAGGACAGCTTTGCATGAAGATATATAGTAAACAGGGCAGGAGCTAAGACACAGCCTTGCTTCACACCAGAGACAAATGCAAAATCATCCGATGTCTCTCCACTCAGCTGCACCATCGCTAGCATACCACTGTGCAGACATTCAATTAAACTTACAAACTTACGCGGGCAACCAAACTTATCCAACACCAGACATAATGCCTCGCGGTTCACCGTATCAAATGCCTTTGTGAAATCAACAAAAAGCGAGTACAATGCTTGGTGTCGTTCGCTGCACCTCTCCTGCAACTGACGAGCCGAAAACACCATATCTATAGTGCAGCGACCCGAACGGAATCCACATTGCTCATCCGCCACGTTAGGTCCCACAAGATGACTGACGAGGCAGTTGAGCAGGATTCGGGTAATCACCTTGCCCACACAACTCAGCAAGTTGATGCTACGATAATTCGTGCAACATTGCTTGCTACCTTTACCCTTGTACAGTGGTAGCACAAGGGCATCCTTCAGCTCAGGAGGCACCTCCTCCTCAAACCATACACGTTGCACCAATTGGTACAGCGCAGTCACAAACGCCGGTCCGCCTTGTTTCAGTACTTCAGGTGGGATCCCGTCGGCCCCAGCACACTTGCCGTTTCGCAGCTGAGCAAGTACTCTCTGCGTCTCATCCAGCGTCGACTTGTCCGCCAGACTCGTCTTCACATCGTGCTGCTTCAGGCAGTTCAATGTAGGCCAGTCGATCTCTGAACGGTTGCACAAGAGACAATCAAAGTGTTTTCGCCAGATCTGCCTTAAGTCTGTAGTCTATGTGCAGGTAGCGCCTGAACTACCATCGATCAGCGTTCTCAGCGGCTCTAATCTCGGCCAATACACCGCTTTCAAGGAGTCAAAAAATTCCTTGTGTTGGCGGCGTTCGGCGTAGCATCCCATCTGCTTCGCCTTCTCCGTTCACCATGCATTTTTAATGCGACGGAGCTCTCGCGTCAGTCGCCGTCGAAGTTTGCGAAACTGACTCTTCTTCCCCAATTCACTGGGGTCTGCCACATGTGCAGCAAATGCTGAATTCTTCTCCGACACCAATGCGCCAATCGTCGCATTGTTCTCATCAAACCAATCAGGCCGCTTAGAGTTTGCGCGACCAATGGTCTCCTCGGCAGCAGCTGTCATCTGGTCGCGAATGTGGTGCCACAGGTCGCCCACTGTGGCTATGCATTCCACGTCACACAGACGTGCAGCCATCGGCTTCTCCAGCTCAGTACGTTTCGCCCCAATACCGAGGGAGAGAATGTTATATTTACACCGGTTCACGGCGGGAGTATAATACATAGATTTACGAAAATATATGTACAGTTTGGTGCGTACCAATTTGTGATCACTGACACCCTTACCGCCACGCAGTACACGTGTTATGCGCACTTCACGCATATCACGCTGACGTACGATGACATAGTCGAGTAGGTGAACGTGACCACTCCGTGGGTGTGTCCAAATTGCTACATCACTCGCACTCAGTGCAAACCGAGCGTTCGTGATCGTCGGGCCGTGAGTGGCACACAGTGAGAGCAGCCTGTCACCGATCGCATTCGCTGAACCAATGCCATGCGGACCGATACCATCTATCCACACCGATGCATTACGCCCAACGCGCGCTTTGAAAGCACCCCGCAGAAATAGTCGGTCGCTAATCGGCACAGACCGTATCAAGGAGGATAGCTGAGTGTAGAAATGATCACGCGTGTCATCAGGATAACACATGGTCGGACCGTACGTGCTTATAAAAGTAGCAAACTTACCTCTTCCGAGTCGTAGCGAACAGTCATCAGTCCCGCGCTGACGTCTATTGGTTCATCCACCAGCTGGCCATGGAAGCGATCGAATATTGCAAATCCGACCCCATCTTTACGTGGTGCTGAGGCGGCGTTGCCAACCCAGTAGAATGTGTACACAGCACCTGCTTCATGCAACTTACCTTGCTCTGCGAGCCGTGTTTCACTGAGCGCCGTAATATCGATGTGGTAATCCGCCAGCTCCATCGCGACCAATGCAGTGTCGCTCGGGGTGCTCACTGAAGTTCCGGTCCAATAGTGTCCGCACGTTCCAGCGCCTGATGCTGAGTGCTTTTCGCGCAGGCATACGATTGCATTGGTGGTCAATCGC